TTCCGTGAAGGCCGATATTTAAGGGATCTCAGAAACTTGAAACCTTCTCAGGTTTTGGGAGCCTGAGACCCGGACAGTGACCCTGATCGATTGGGGAGGCGTGGGTCAGCTCGTCGCCTGACTAAATATCATGAGCACGATAGTACACATGAAAGCATGTGGTGCGAGTGGGCTCGGCTCACTCAGCAGTGTGCTCTTTCAGGACGGCGACACCCACTGCAAGCTGGCCAACCTCTACTCGCACATGGGCAGTTTGGTCAAGGACCGGGTGTGATGTGCCACTGGGGTTTCAGGACATGCAGTGTGCTAGACAAGATCAAGACTGCAGAGGTTTTCAGTCTGGTCACCGCTGAAGAGGAGTGGAGTGACTGCGAGTCTGTGGAGCTAGAGGGAGCCGATGAGATTGCTGGCGTCTACACCCGCGCAGGCGCCATGAAGCAAAGCACAGAGTAGATCGAATCGGGGGGGCAGTGCTATCTCATGAACTGAAGCCGGATCGTGGGAGACAAGTGCCCAGGATTCTCCGTCTACGAAGCTGGTGAGAATCAAACTGCCGCTTGATGAAACTTCCGCTGACGTGTAGAGAGAGGCAATCAGAGCAAAGAGTTGACTTTGTTAAGAAGAAAGCACCACTCGTTGACGGCTCAGGCCTTGCTCCTGGGCTACACCTATGGTGTGGCATACTACAATGAGGAGTTGGGCTACAGGTGCGCACTGAATGTGCGGTCACAGAAGGAGTACAGGCACTTTGAGATACTTTGAGCATTTGAGCCAGGTTATTCTACTCTGGCGACGCCAAGTGGACCGTGGTTTTGGAGTATCCCGGGCGCCAGGACTCGGAAGTACTGGAGTCAGAGGGAGTCGAGCCGAGTTGAGTTGCTTGAAGTGTAGGAGCTCTACACCACGTTGGCGGCCTCTTGGCTGCACATCTTTGGAAATCTCAGCTATGCTCAGGACAAGCCCTGCCTGCGCACCATTGTTAATTTCAGACTGCTTTCGGCTGAGGAGCTGGAGACAAAGGTCAATGACATCAAGCTCTTGGCGGCGGAGCCCGCGCATCGGTGGAAGATCTTCAAGCAGGTTGCGAGATGCCAGAGTCCTTCTTATGTGGCTTTCTGTACCTGAAAGCCTGAAAGGGCAAGCACAAGAAGACCAAGACGGTGTCCGTGAGTGTGAGGGAGCCAAGAAGCTGCAGCTCAGCTGATCTTGAGCTCCAACTGTGGAACCACTGGAAGCCTGAAACAGGTCAGGTTTTTGCAGTCTTATAATTGAAGCCTGCATATGCACAATGAAAGCGTCTAGGAGCTCGGAGGGTCTGGATGTTCTGAGGCGGCCTGCCAACACGAAAGCAGGCGAAGTTGCCCGTCATGCCTGTCATGCCCGTCGGCACGCCGATTTGATGCTTTTGAGTCGAGCGTTGCCTGGGAGGCCTACTCCAAAGCGGCCCAGAAAATGGGCCTGGGTCTGAACTTTGACTGCAAGGCAGAGGAGCGAGTCCCTCATGTCACATGATCGAGAAAATGTCGTCTCGTAAAGCGGTGGCCATTCACAGCGAATGCATGCTGTTCTCTGCCACGCATGTCCCTCTTAAGCCCCCTGAAAAGGCATCCCTTTGGGGGGTTGGTCCGGGTTGGTGTCAGTGCCGTGAGGACACAGTTCTGCTGCCTGAAGCGCCACTGACACAGGTATCGTTGCAAGCACGTCAGCATGCGTGGGCAAGCACATGCACTTGCACTCAGTAAAGCCAGAGTAGAAGCAGGTCGAGAATCTCACGAAGTGGAAACACAACGGCAAGACTCAGTTGGGCCTTCTGGCCGCAGGTCTGCGTGTGTCTTAATTCGCATGTTTGCACTCAAGGGAAGCGATCCCCAGCTCTCGAGTTGGAGCAGCTGAGGATGCATCAGCAGGACCGAAGAGGAGAGCTTCGTGTGGTGGGGCATCTTGGCTGCACAACCATGCACAACCCCTGGTTCATCCTGGCTCTGAGCTCTTTGAGCATGAACACTTAGCAGATCTTAGCATTAGATGGCAGACGGCAGATCATCGCAGCCCGACTCCGAATTGCCCACCGAGGTGTCCACGATCCCCTCAAGCTCCGGTTGCGCAACGAGCACGGTCGACGTCCCTCACGATGAAGTTTAGTCTACAAGCACAGAGCATGCCGAAGCACTCTTCAACGCTTCTCATGTTTGCACATGCACCAAGGCCTCGCTACAATCGGCAACTACGCGTGGGACCTTGATGCCGACCCCGCGCTGGTCGAAGCCAAGGGCTCCTCGCCCTGGACGAGACATCAAGGGAACACACATGACGCAGGTTTCGAGCCTGGGCCCTAAAGCCGTAACCACGAAAACTTGAGGCTGGGTTGGCGACGTCTTCGCACCAGAAAGCCGGGAGGAGATGGCGAAGCTGAGCGTGCCCAAGAGGAGTGACACTTGCAAGTTTAAACTCTGTATCATTGTCGTACCCAAGCCCTTCAGGAACATGCTCCTCAACACAGCCGGCCACCGAGAGAGATGGCAAAAGTTCGTAGGACGTCGTAGGCTCTCCGTCGGCCGACTCTTGCATCCATTTGCAGATCCGCACAGAATCTTACGTACACTGTCTTACACTTCTCTCCGAGTCTTCTCCGAGGCGCAGGCCCAGCTGGCGCTGGCGGCGTCGCTCTACGACTCGGACCTTTTACTTGCAGCGGTGCTAGGCCTGGGCAGATGCCAGTGTGCACGTTCCGGCTGCCGAGAGAAGCCAGCGAAGCCAGCAACCTGTCGACCTCTAAGTAGAAAGAAGTACAGGTACAAAGTACTACGATAGTACTTGGAGTTGGAGGTAGGGGAATTTGCAAGCCCATGGCTCTTCATGGGGGGCTCCCAAGATCTCGGCACACCGGAGAGTCACACTGGAAGCTGATGGGGCGCAGGTACGTCTCTGCGTGCACAGCTCGGCACTAGTTTGAGCAGTCGGCTAGAAACTTGTTGGACTTCGTGGGCCTCCCAAGATGCGAATTGTCACATTTGTCACAAACTGTCGCATGTCCGTCGTGTTCAGTTCAATGTCGTTGAGCCTCCGACGCCAGGCATCGCTGCCAAAGACTCGGTGGGACTCGTTTCGCCCGAAGTCCCGAACGAGTACGTTCTGTTGGCACGGTGTATTGTGGTCAGAAGCCCAGAACTGAACAAGCAGGGTGCAGGTATGTGATGATCAGAGGGCAAGGGCAAGTGCTGACGCCTTGTTGCTGGCCGTTTTTGTGAGGTGTTCCACGGGATGCTGGGTGACGTTGTGAAGGAGAACTTCATGCGCCTTTTTGTTTCCGGTCAGCAGGCTCTGCCTTGGTGCGCGTTCTTATTTCTCTCCTGTCTTCTCTCGGTCTTCTGGGATCCTTGTACTGCACTGCAGGCATATATCCAATGGCTGCTTCGTCCCGGCGGGGATCGCTTCTTCCGCTCTTGGAAGAAGCCAGCATTGGCATCTCGCCTGTGAGACTAAGGCAAGAGGGATGGCAAGGCATAGGGACGCCACAGAATGCAGCAATGCTGTCACACCTGGGTTGTCCTGAAAATGTATAATGTTTCAATGTCCAGAATCTGCAGCAGATAGTACATTACATACACACAATATGTTGCTCAGCAAGTAAGTATGTACAACATGAGACCTCCTGCAAAAATATCATCTGGATGATCAGAAACTTGGAGAAATATATGCATATGTAAATAAATACATATATCTATATATATATATATACAAAGTTGATCTTCAGCCCCGACTCTCTTGCCGACACGAATATCACACTTTCCGGAACAACGCCTAAAACGGCGAGGTGTAGCACACTTCGACATTTTGTGCGATCGAAGTACGTTTTGTAGTATACTGACATCTCAGACTATATTATGGTTTATTTTACATTATGGAAGACTATGTTCTATTATGTGTATTATACGTTTTATATGTTATATCAGTCTCTCTTTTGCGTGTCGTTGCATACTACATACGAATGACAAATATATGTTCACACGCATGTGTATGTATCCCTCAACGTACCCACCTCACAGTCCACGAACTCCCAACATTCGCAAACCCAAAGCTTTTGTCAAAATCACGGCGGGCTTGGTTTTGGGGATGTTTGGACGGGAGATGGGGTGGGGGCTTTTTTTAGAAACAAGACAGATGGAGTAGGAAAGGCTTGCCCCCCTCCCCCGCCAGGTAATGTAGGAATCTACCCGTTATAGGCAAGCATCCTAACAAGGGACCCTAGTGTGGTGGAAGTAAGAGTTCCCAAGCTGAGGAGTACCTGGAAAGCCACAGAGATTCGTGCAGCAGTGAGGACCACTTTTCCTCCCTCCTTTTGTGTGACGATTTCGCATAGCATGGGTTTTCACGGGTTTTCCTTTTGACAGGACTGGGACCTCAAGGCGGTGTGATGGCCTTGAGGGCCCTTGCGTGTCACTGCTCGTTTGAAGAGTCGAGAGCTTAGAGCTGATAGTTCGCGTGGCCGAAAGTCTGCCACGCCGTTAGTTGCCATTTTCCCCGCTTCGTGTTCGAAGCTCCTTGAGCCATCTTTGCTCCCGTGCCGAACAGAGAACACACGGCGTAAATTCCTCAGCAGGTGCAGAATAGATGGTCGCGCAAGCTTGCCACCCCGATAGACACATCAGCATTGCCAGAGCCAGTTCATGCATAGCGAGCAGCCGCGAGTAAGCACTGATACATGCTTGGTCTAAAGGAGAGATGCTTTGTGCAGGGAGCTCTTTTCCCTGTGTCCCGACAGCTGGCGAAAGATAAGCAGCGGCTCGCAGTGCATGGATTTTCCCAGCAGCGGGGACTGAAGAGAGCCTGGAGAATCAATTGGTCCGAAACAGTCGGAGACCATGCCAGCAGGGTTGGAATGAGCAGAGGCAAAAGCTCTGCAAGCCTGCATCATGCTGCATCTGCCACCGTGCCCACCAGCACATGTGTTGCTTATGACTAGCAGGTCAGAAGTCAGAGTGTCCAGTCTGTGGTGACAGGAGCTGGAGACCGCAGAGAAGAGCCTTGAGAGCTCCAAGCAAAGTGTTAAGACACTCGGGCCGCATGTTGGGGCGATGGAAACGAGAAAACCGGTGAGAGCAGTTCGGGTCTTGAGGGATCGTGCCTGTCAAAAGTCCCGTTAAGGCAAGAGCTCGAAAAGCTGCGCAAAGATGCCTGTGCCCCAATGACTGCTCGGTGACTGCTCAATGACCACTCGATGACCGTGGTGAAGGCAAAGCCTACCTTGGAGAAGGCCGTGAGCCAGGCAAAGCAGAAGGCACGTTCTGCAGCTGTTGATGCATCTTCTTCGGCTTGTTTAAGCAAGCGTTTCCCGTTTATGGGAATGGCGTGGGTGCCACAGTTGTCCTGCCTTTTGGCATTGATTTCAGTGTCCCGCCTTGGATGCTCAAGGCTCGAACCCTAATGAGTCCCCGCGACTGAGACAGAGAACCATGAAAAACTGCTCAGAACTTCAGAACTGGCATACACAGCAATTGCAGACAGCATCTGACACGAAGAAAGCACCAAGACGCTCCCGAGCCGCTTGTGAGATGGCCCCTTAGGCGAAGGCCTTTAAACTCCACAGTTTATGGCGCTGCGCTTTGACGGCAAGGTGCCGTCCAGACATGTTTCTTTGGTGTCCAGCATTGCTATACCCGCTCCAGAACCAAGTGGTGAGCACATGCTGACGGCGTGCCATGACCAACAGACTCCAATCGACCAAACCCTGCTCACAGTGAAGCTCCAAAGAAACCCTCGAAAGTGGTGACTTGCCTCACTACATCAGCGCATGCATTACACATGCTTTGAAGGTGGCTATCGTAACCGGCGCGGGCAATGGTCTGGGCAAGGACTTCGCTCCCGGCATGGCTGGCTTTCACTAATGTCATCAACATGTCATTTCTCAATTCTCTGCCTTGTCCCTTGCTGGGCCCCTGTTAGACTGTGAGTCCTCATATTTCAGGGTACTCCGAGAGTGAGAAAAAACTATATAGTTCTAGATACCTCATGAAAGGTTGCATTGATCCGGCTCAGGGTCTCAAGCAGTCGCCCAGTCCTTGGTCTGATGCAAAGAGGCATATGCGCTGCTCCTGGCCACAAGAGGGGCAAAGGTGGGTGCTGTCCTACTGTCTCCTTTGAATTCCACTTAAACCCCAAACCCCTTAACACCATCCTCAACCCAGAGCTACGCCTGTGTGCAGGTGGTGGTGAATGACTTGGGTGGCACGGCGACTGGCAGCGGTAGCTCCAGCTCTGCAGCAGTCGGCGCCTCATGCGCTTTGCTTCCAGGAAGCAATGAGACTTTAAAGGAAGTCTTAGAGGCTTTTTCGGTTGTCGCTCGACCTCTCTCCTCGGAGGATGCTGTCGTAGCGGAGATCAAGCAAGCAGGTGGAGAGGCCCGATCGACATGATGCTCGTAGCTTCATAGTTCGTGGCTCACCGACCATTTCATTCCCACCTTCCTCCAGGCCGTTGCCAGCTACGATTCCGTCGTGGATGGGGACAAGATTGTGCAGGTGGCCATCGACACGTGCGCTACGATAGGTCACATTCGCAAGAACTTCGTTGTGGCTTGTGTGGCCTCGAGCTGGTTTTTGACCCTAAACACCAGCCACGTCGTCGAGGTACGGCCGGGTAGACATCCTCATCAACAATGCCGGGATTCTGCGGGATGTGTCTTTCAAGAGGATGCCCGAGAAGGCCCTCTACCGTGGGCAAGCATGGCTCCAAGACGTGTCCACACAGTTCGAGCGGCCAGGACTGGGACATGGTCTACCAGGCGCCAACATCACACCTGCCTGCAGGAATGGGGTTCGTCTTTGGGCGCTTATCCTGTACTATAGATCTATGTATATGTATATATGCAAATATATATATATATATGTACATATATATATATATGTATATGTGGTACCCCCCCGATGTGCCTACCTCTTTGCTTGGCTTCTTGGTGCAGGCTTGGCCTTTTTCTTGCTGCAAGTTTTTTTCTTGCCATTCATCATAATTCATTGTTTCTTGGGACCGTACAGCGTCTTGGAGGCCAGGGACTGCAAAAACGCTGTACTGTCCCAAAAAACCAGGCCTTTTTACGCAAAAGCAAGCAAACATGATGCACTGTCCCACAACAACCACCTGGAGGCCATCTGGCGTGTGAGGTCTCCGAACTTTTTCGTTTTTTGTTGGGCACTCTTCTCTTTAGAAGCCTTGTTTCTTAGGACAGCACAGCATGTTGGAGCCCTTGGACTGCAAAAACGCTGTACTGTCTCAAAAAATGCAATCTTTGAAGCAACAACAAGCAAACATGTACCGTTCCAAAAACCAACCCAATAAATCATGTTCACCAGCATAATCGGCGCCTAGTCACAAAAAAATAGGCCCCTGATTGTGACGATTATTTGGATGAACCCAATAGCTGGCCTTCATTCTCTTCCAATATGCCCGGCCGTTCAAGTATAAACTTGAGGGAAAGAATATCCAGCTGATAAGAGTGCAACCCTGCAAGTTCAATTGGCTCCATGGATGAGGTCATGTTTCTCAGTTGCAAGCCATATTGGTACTTAAACTCAGCGGACAGTATAACCAGGTTAGTCCATGCATGAGATCATGTTTCAGTTGCAAGCCACTTGAAATTACAATAAACTAGACCCTGATGATGTCGATTATTCGGCACAGCGGCTGTCCCAATGGCTGTCCTTCATCCTCTCGTTAACTTGAGGGAATGAATATCTGCCTAGTAAGAGCGCAACCCTATGAGTTCAATTGGCTCAATGGACGAGATCATGTTGTTCAGTTGCAAGCCACGGGGTATTGAAATTCGACGAACAGTCGATTCTGACCATTACTTGGCACACAGGTTGTCGTCCTTCATTCTCTCCCAATACTCCAGGCTATTTGAACAGTATTGTATAGCTTTAACACTATATCTTGCTTCAAATCGTGTTAGTCAATTTAGCTGAACTGTTTACATTCTCAGCCTGGAGTGGGGAACTAATGTGCCGAAGAGTTCTTATACAAGATATACGTCACACATGTCGATGCATTCCGTACCGCGTCCTAATTGCCCATTGCCGCTCACAGTCAGCAATCAACATACATCCTGGCACATTACAGTATTGGCTTAAGATTCAAAATCTTTGGCTTGGGCGTGGCGAACTGCACACCCACACCACGAACACGTAAGTTGTATCGTCTTCGCGAATTCCGTGCCAAAAGCTGTCGTGCAGCGCGTCACTCTGCAAATCTGTACTACATGAGCACACCTTAAACAGACATTGGTTCAAAACACGCGTTCAAAATCAAGAAAAGACACACGCATGAGGTTAGCATACATATATATATATATGTATAAATCTATTTTGTATTTCTATGTGTATATATCTGTACGTGTATACACTGTATATATCTGTAAATATTTATGTAGTTCTATGTGTGTATATCTGTACGTGTATCTACTGTATATATCTGTAAATAAATACATAAATAATAAAGAAATAATAAATAAATATATATATACATATATATATATACATATGTATGCATTTTTCAGGCTCCGTGTTGCAGTAGGTACCCGGAAGGAAGGGACCCAACAATTTCGACGACTCCCGTTCCTATGTGTCAGACTCCTTTGCCGCCAGGTGCACCTCAAGGGCGCCTTCAAGGTTACGCGCGCTGCGTGGCCTCACATGGTCCGCTGACCGAAGCAGGGGGATTGGGCCCATTCTTGAAGCCCTTTTTGCCCTGTCAGCCCTAGACTTCCCAAGCCCTGGACCTTAAACCATCATCATCATCATCATCATCATCATCATCATCATCATCATCATCACTTGAAGCCATGATAAATGGCCATCTCGAGCTGTTCGTTGTGGGGCCCTGCATGTGACATGTGGGCCAGGAGAAGAATGCTTACGGCCGCGTGGTGAATGTGTCGAGTCCGGTGGGCCTCTACGGAAACTATGGCCAGGGCCCCCAGGAATCCAGGCAGGCGAAGTTGCTGTCTCCGACAGTAGCTATGCTTCGTGCGTAGATTCCGTATAAGGCCAAGCCAACTACACGGCCATGAAGAGGCAGTTTTGAGCCGTTGGGACTGCCGCCACGCGGGGTGCAACACGGGGGCGGATCTCGGTTGCAGGGCTGTGGTGGGCTTCAGCTTGTCTCTGGCTGCGGAAGGCACGGCGCCGCATTCTTGTGCATTCTTTTCCTGTCACCTGATTCCTTTAGCGTGGTGAGGAGCCAAGAAGCAGATCAAAGTGAACGTGGTGGCGCCGTATGCAGCCTCCAGAATGTCGCCCAACGCCTAAGCCGGCATTCTCTTGTTCGAGTGATGCTGAAGCAAAGCTGAAGCTGAAGGCAGACAGTGATGTCTCCCGAGATGCTTGAGGCCACAGTCAATGGATGGTGATTCCTTTCAGACCTGTCCAACTTTGCACAGGCCTTGCCTGCTTCGTCCGTGGCCAAGTTCATAGCCTTCCTGCGCCGAGCCTGAGATTCATCTGGGACTCGTGCCGCCCCGTGCTAGCTGCTGCTAGGGGGGGGCAGCTTGTTGGAGTTTGCATATAGTGGAGGTGCCACGAGGACTGTCCGGAGTCTGGTGCCTTGTATGAGCTCGGTGGCAACTGGATCTCCAAGGCTTTCTGTGCTGCGCCCCATGTTCCCCCTCCCCCCCATGTTCCGTTATGCTTCCCTGCCCACGCTAGCATGCGAGCTGTGCTGGCAGGTAAGGCTGCAACGATCCAAGGGTGTTCAGCTGAACAACGACTTCACAATGGAGGTGAGAATGTCGATGTGCGGCCGTGTCCTTCTTGTGCCACCTGCTAAGACGTGCTGGTGTTTGGTACTGAAAACGGTCGGCTTGTGCTACGCCAACGGACCAACAGAATGTACTGTACTGTTGCACGGGAAGATGACGTCAGTGTGAGCCGCAGCGCATGTTCAGGACATTGCACAAAGCTTCACGCAGATCTGTGACTTCAGCGAAGGCCCCATACTTCGATTTTATGCAGCCTTGAGCCTTGTGCACTCAATCCTAGCGCCGAGCGAGGCCGGGATTCGTTCTAAAAAAGCTTCTGTGACAGGCTCCGAGTTTCCAGCCGATGGCTTCTCTGGGATGCAGCATGCAATGGTCTCCTGGTTCGCACGTGTCGCAGTCCTTGTCTTGTGGTGTTGTTCTTTCTCTTGTAGACAGTACTTGCGTTTGCTGCTGAAATCCGCTTTGTCATTTGTCGTCTGGACGTAGAAGATGTTCGAGACCTGTCTGAATGTTGTGCCATAAATGGGTTCTGAGCACGTCTCGCGCCGTCTCGCGCACCGAGGCCAGCCGGAAGACCAAGCCGAAGAAGGCAGATGCCGAGGTCAAAGAAGCAGGAAATCCCACCTCGAAGTTGTGATCGTTAAAAAGTCTTGACCTTGATGCCACGCGGCCTAGCGTTTTTTTTCCGATCCAACTGCCAACTGACGAGATGAACGCCGCACTGGAAGCTCGGCATAAGCTCGGCCTTCATGATCGCTGGATGAAGGACGACGGAAGACGGCCGACGCGTCTCAGCATGTCTCAGCAATGTTGCGCAATGGCTGCAACATGCTCAGTTGGAAGTGTGCTGGGGCAAGATGCTGTAGCAAATGAGCGCAAGCGAGGGCTTGAGCATGGAGAGCAAAAGGTGGCGGCGCTGGGTGGTATAGACGTTATACTATCCGTTATACTTCGGTACATGCTAACGTGAGTCCATTGCAAGATTCCTGGACACGATCGAACGTTAAGTTGAGTTGTTGCATCTTGTCTTGAATTGTCCAGACTTATCCCGTCGCAATGCCGCGAGGTGGAGCAATTGAAGAAGGCGGAGACTGAAGCGGATTCCCGCATACAGAAACTCCAGAAACAGCAAAAGGACATGGCCTTGCCAGATTTGCCCGTCACCTTCGCTTCCCCACACCAATGACCTCCTGCAGGAACTTGCGACTCGCGCTCAGTCCGCCGAAGGCCGACTCCAGACGGAGCTTTCTCAGGCCGAATTGCGACTGCGCGGAAGGTCCACGCTCGTAAGCAGCATCTAAGAGAATCAGACTCAATTCTGCAGTTCCAGCATGTCCGGCATGCTCTGGCTTTTGCATCTCGAGAAGCAAGAAGGCACGACGACAGCAAGGTGCGAGTATCTGCTAATGTCAAGCTCATGCCCTCTGGCCTCAGCCAACCCTCATGTCGTTAACGGCGACCCTTCCCATCCAGGATATTGAAGCACAGCATACGTAACCAATGTAAACAACTGAGCAAATCACTACATTTTGAGAGTTTATGAATAAGTATATATGTTGATGATTGACACATATGTACATCCAGGAAGCTGTGATACAGCAAGCTCTGCATGCGCAGTGACCGCCATGATTGTCCGGCCTGGGCAGCCGTCGAAGATGTACTCGCTGTCAATGGCAAGCGGCCAAGCGGGCCAAGTGGGCCAAGCGAAGCTGAAGGCCAAAGCGAAGCCGCAGAGCAAGCCCAGGGTGCCAAGGAGGGAGTCGCCCTTGGCGGCAGCAGCACGGCGCGCGCGTGAGGCCATGGCCGGCCCAGTCGTTCCTCGAAATGACCGGGGCAGCGGTGGCAGTGCCGGCCGTCCGAGTGTCAACGGCACGCGGAGCAGGTCTCCTAGTGGAAGTGGACGCAGTGGACTCTCTTCGACACCGAAGTTGCGGAAGCCTCTGGGGGCCGACCCGCCGCCGCCGACGCCCTGCACACCGGAGAGCCCACAACGGTCCGAGAGGCCACATGCAGCACCACGTGCGGCTTATGCGGCCCGGTCGCTGATCCACCAGAGTCCAGACAGGGACCTTGACAAGCACCCTTCCCGTCGACCACCCGGCAGCTATTCGCCAGAAAGCCCCAGCCCAGGCAATGGACGGAGGAAGCTGTCCACAGCCTCCGAGGACCATGATCCAAATGCGGACTTTGCAGATACCTCGGTCGGCTCGGCTTTGATCGACGCGTTCTCCGAGGACCCTGCCATGTCCCCTGCCCTGCCGCGCATCGTCTGATCGACCCGCGCAACGGGGCAAAGTTGTTTTGTGTGTGTGTGTGTGTAGGACATGGGCCCGAAGTCTGCTGACAGAACTGAGATATTGGAGGCGCCGTGCCCTTGCACATCCCACGGGCCAAGCTTGCACTCCAACAGCAAAGCGCGAGCATGCCATGTGCGCGTGGCCCTGTGGCAGGCGGCGGCGGTGCTGCGCCGCGAAGCGCAGGACTTGGGCCAGGCACTGCGAGCCTGGGTCGGCGTGGAGGCAACACTGTAGGTAGTCAACCAGTTAGGCAGAGGCAGAAGTCCCATCGAGACTGCATCTTTTGATTCCAGTCAGTGCAAGTTCTGCTGTGCACGGTCTTCCACAGTGCTCAGAGGCAACGGAACTGGATCCGCAACCAAGTGCCCACGAGGAGGGTGTGAGTGCCAGGATGTGTGAATGTTGCAGAATCCACTCCTTTGCCTGCGTTGCGTGTGTTCGATGCAGGCTCACGATTTACACGATGCACGCGATGCACACGATGCTCACGATGCTCATGCCCCTTTCGCGCTGGAAGAGGTCGAGATTGCATTGGAGCCTCGCAAGGCTCGGCTCCGCAGCCGTCGCCTGAAACATCCTAAATCAATCTAAGTCAACCCTTTCGATTTATCTTGAATTACGCTGATGAGTGAAGCGTTGAAGAGCAGAGAAGAGCAGGTCGGGGCTGGGGCTGACGCCGGTGCTGGCGAGGAGGGTGAGGGGAAGGCAAGGACTTTCAAATCAGAGCCGGAACCAACGCCATTGAGCTCTTTTGAACTCCAGTGGGTCCCCAGATGCCTCGAGGTTCCTGCGCCCAAGCTACAAGAGCCCCAAAAGCTCGCAGAGCCGGATGCGCATGATGACCTTGGCACACTGCCTCGGCCAGAATGTGAGACAGACGATCAAGCCGAGGCAGGAGACGTAGACGCCACAACTTTCCAACATGGCTGGTACCGGTAACGAGCTTCGTGCCCATGCCGAAAGTCCTTGTTCAGGCCTCGTTGGACGAACGGGAACGCCTCATGCTGCAGTCACCATCTCATTCTGTTGTTTCGTGTCTCGAGCTTGATGAACGGAGCAGTGGGACCGGTAAAGCGACTGTTTGTGAACGAGGCGGGAGCGGCTGGACAATGACCTCGAGCGCATCGTAGGCACAGCTCTCATAAACCTGAGAGCGAACTCCCCTCACGTTGCAGCAGATTTCCTGAGTCTTCCCGAGATTTGAAGCGCATGACCGTTCCATGTTCCCACTTCCCATGTCTTCGTCCCGAGTTGTTTTGCCCAGAGGACATTGTGGGGATACTTCTGCAGTCGTGTGAAGTATTGAAGTTTAAAAGTGATTCGTGTGACGAGGCGAGTGGCATCGGGTGCTGTCGGAGAGACAGCAGGCAATTGAGGCACCGTGTGTGCTACCAGCGAGCACTTTCCACAGCTGGTCGCTGACAATGAACGGCTCTGCTTGCTGTGGCTTGACGAGTTGTAGCTGCCCGTAGCAATGGTAGCGCCTAATGGAAATGTCCAAGTGCCCCAAATGCCTCACGGAAGATGGATTCCTACTTTCCACTTGTGTCTTGCAGGCATTGGCTGCAACTGAGTACCCAGCTGTGGCAGAGCGTGGCCCCAAATTAAGCACTGCACATCTACAAACGTCAGCGAACGCCAGCTAGCTCGCGTGCAAGAAACTGTTATGCTGTGTTGGGTGTGCTGCGCAGCCATGCGTCTGTGTCTGAGGCTTGCCCCGGCACCAGTACCGATGCCAGTGATGCCAGTGTTCCATGGCCTTCAGAGACTCTGATGTAGCGTCACCACTCGTGTCATAATGAGCATCACTGTTGGTGCCACTACACTGTCTGCACGGTGCATCCCAGACCTCAGCAAAGGCATGCCCGAGCAACACTTGGCTGCACGCCGGGCCTGCAGATGGCGCATGCCGTGGGCTTATGTTGCACATTGTACTTGGCATCGTGTATTTCAGGGGTCTTTCGAAATTCTTGTGGCGACATGCACCTCCAAGGCCCCTATGCCAGCAAGAGCCACGGTGCCATTCAGGGCCCACGAGGCAAGATGGTCCACGCAAGTCCGATCCAGCAGACGGCTGGCATTTGTCCGGAGGCCTTCGCCCATGGGCAGGCGGTATCGCGCTCGCCCAGCCCAGTTGCTGTCGGAACCTTGTTGCCTGACTTGCTTGCGATATCTTGGAGTGCCGCCAACCAATAGAACTCAGTAGAACCAGACAAACATGAAAGACATCTTCCTAGATCAACAGTTTGATGTCACGTACTCGTTTGCCTTGGCAATATTTGTTTCGGCTCAGCGTCGGCCATTGGCCCTCGACACCATGGCTCTCAACGGGCCACGGCCCCTCACTGAGATGCAGTGTAGCGTGCTTGGGAATGATGGACACTGACTGATCCAGTGCTAACAACTGCCGCATCTGCGAGGCCCTGCCAGGGCCAGGCTGCCCGCAGGCAGCACAGAGTCGTCCTGGCAGTGCCAGTCTCAGACATGGCCGCATCACGGCAAGCAGCAAGGCGATGCCAGGCGGGTGTATCGACTCCGATGTATGCGATAATACGAGAACGCAAGTCAGGTCTTGGCGGCACTCGGGGCTGCAGCGTGGTGGGCTCCCCAGCTCGTGCCACTGTTGCAGTCCAGATCTCCAACTTTCGACCTTGCGTGGCATTGAGGTACTGTTCCGCCCAGACCTTCCTGGCCGCAAGTGGCCGAGGCTGCTCACATCATCTCAGTCCTCTTGTCCGTCGTTGAACGACGTTGAACGGATCGAGATCGCACCTGGCTGTGCAGGACTGGGTCGCAGCGACCGCAGCAGCGTCGCACGTAAGGTGGCACATGATGCTGTGCACTGCTGAGTCCTTGACAGGCACTCCTGTAGAAAGATGTGGAATGGGTGACCTCTCATGCGCAGGCGGGCTACACATTTGGACTCAGCTCTTCGGAGGATCACAAGGGACTTCTGACGGCGCAGAAGGACCTAACGTTGCCCATCACTACTGCCGCAAAAGTGTGTAAACTTGTGTAAACATCTGAGTGGTGGGCTTCGCACATGGAGGACAACGCATACCGTGTCTCTACGGAGGGCAGCGAGTTCTCCGGTCACTACAACACGGCCGCTTCACAGCAGTGAGATCATTTTCCTGTGGCGAAAATTCTGCTCGCCTTCTCCTGTTATGCACAGTTATGTCATGTCGGTTAAGTCATGCAGTTGCACGGCTCAGACAACATAGTCAACATAGTGAGATGGTGCCAAAGGTGGGTCATGGAGTCACAGTCGAGTCAGGAAGTTTAGTCGAGTCGGAAACCTAAACAGGCCGAGTTTGAAAAAGAAAACGGACTCGTCGCAGCATCAACCTTACGCCTTTAGCCCTCTCCACAGAGGTTCAGGGTTTAGGGCTTATAGGGGTCATTTGTTCGATGTTGTCTGTCCCAGTTTTTGGCTGTCCTCGTTGTTTTCGACACGGTTTGACCGGCCCCTTTGGTCACCCTCAACAGCAAACTTCTTTCCTGTCGACGCAGCATCCTCACACTGAGCAACGCATGAACTTCGGGATGCGATCGAGGCAAGCTCTCAATCTGGAATTTGCAACATGAAGAGAACGCTCGCAGCTTCCGCCGTGTGGTTCTGGTTGACCTGGCTCTCATCAAGGTTGAGCTCGACAAGTCTTGTCAGCTGTTCAACACGTCATGAGGTCCTTGGAGATCAGGAGATTCCTCAGTCTGGCCGCTCCTATTGGGAGGTGCAGTAGGGCCCGTTGCCATTGTAGTTTCTCATAGTTTCTCAAACACCATGCTTCGCGACATGGTTGTACTGCCTCGATGCAGATTGGCAGGTCAAGATCGTCAAGAAGCCTTCTGACGCATGGGAGTACATAGGTGCCCCATGAGCTCCTGCAATCGACACTTGCAACTTTGCACACAGTATTGCGCACGCGCAATGGTCCACGAGAGGTGTGGCTGAA